CCACTTGGCCTTACTTTTCACTTCCATCACACACCTTAGCTTTATTTTTCATACTTGGATTATATCCTCAAGGTTTACCTTGAAGTGTCACTTATTATATGTATTGATACTTGTCTCCAAGGATTTGTTTTTTCTTCTTAGTAATATACACATGAATAATATGGAGCTAGACTTTGATGGTATGACATACACTATATGTTTAACACACCTCTAACCCTGTCCATGGAGGACAGAAGATAATGTATATATGCTGGTTAGCATTGTAAATGTGTGGCCACGTCTGTGGTAGAAAATAATAATGAAAAAAAAACTGATCTACTTCCAAACTGAGATGCAAACATAGTGCCTTAAAACATTCAGTCATTCACACTAGATGGAAAAAAAACTGAAATTCGAGAGTCGAGTGAAAAGACTCAATCTCCCCTCATCTGAGGCAAGACGAAAGAAATGAGACGTGATCACAACGTACAAGATCCATATGGGAGATTGACAAGTATGACAGACATATACTGGTGAGTGAAGATGGAATAAATCTGGACCAGAGAACAAATGGAATTCATAACGAGAATTCAAATGGGAGCCGGTCGGCCGAGCGGAGAGCACGCTGGACTGTGATCCTGTGGTCCCGGGTTCGATCCCAGGCGCCGGCGAGAAACAATGGGCAGAGTTTCTTTCACCCTATGCCACTGTTACCTAGCAGTAAATAGGCACCTGGGTGTTAGTCAGCTGTCACGGGCTGCTTCCTGGGGGTGGAGGCCTGGTCGAGGACTGGACCGCGGGGACACTAAAGCCCCGAAATCATCTCAAGATAACCTCAAGATAACGAGAAAACATATTGGAAAGACGAGGATGATGAGGCTGATACATAGAGGAGATCAGGACATGGATGTGATCAGGCGAGAGGACACAAGGAAGGGATGAGAAAGAGGCAACACAACAAAGAACAATAAGACTAAGAGGAATGAACTAGCAAGAGAGGTCGTAATATCGTACTCTAAAACGTGGATTTAAAAGCAGCAGCGATCCATCCAAAGGCATCCAAAGGCTACGAGATTACCTACACCAGCTGCATGAAGGTTCCAAGATGGGATCTAGACATTGGAACCCAATCCATGGAACTATATAACTATTACATGCTCTTTCGACACCATCGTCAACCCTTCCCCACTACCCTCAACCCCTCCCCACTACCCTCAACCCCTCCCCACTACCCTCAACCCCTCCCCACCACCCTCAACCCCTCCCCACTACCCTCAACCCCTCCCCACTACCCTCAACCCCTCCCCACTACCCCTCAACCCCTCCCCACTACCCTCAACCCCTCCCCACTACCCTCAACCCCTCCCCACTACCCTCAGCCCCTCCCCACTACCCTCAACCCGTCCCCACTACCCTCAACCCCTCCCCACTACCCTCAACCCCTCCCCACTACCCTCAACCCTTCCCCACTACCCTCAACCCCTCCCCACTACCCTCAGCCCCTCCCCACTACCCTCAACCCCTCCCCACTACCCTCAACCCCTCCCCACTACCCCTCAACCCCTCCCTACTACCCTCAACCCTTCTCCACTACCCTCAACCCCTCCCCACTACCCTCAACCCTTCTCCACTACCCTCAACCCCTCCCCACTACCCTCAACCCCTCCCCACTACCCTCAACCCCTCCCCACTACCCTCAACCCTTCTCCACTACCCTCAACCCCTCCCCACTACCCTCAACCCCTCCCCACTACCCTCAACCCTTCTCCACTACCCTCAACCCCTCCCCACTACCCTCAACCCCTCCCCACTACCCTCAACCCCTCCCCACTACCCTCAACCCTTCTCCACTACCCTCAACCCCTCCCCACTACCCTCAACCCCTCCCCACTACCCTCAACCCCTCCCCACCTCCATCAACCCCTCCCCACTACCCTCAACCCCTCCCCACTACCCTCAACCCCTCCCCACTACCCTCAACCCCTCCCCACTACCCTCAACCCTTCCCCACCTCCCTCAACCCTTCCCCACCTCCCTCAACCCTTCCCCACCTCCCTCAACCCTTCCCTCACCTCCCTCAACCCTTCCCCACCTCCCTCAACCCTTCCCCACCTCCCTCAACCCCTCCCCACTACCCTCAACCCCTCCCCACTACCCTCAACCCTTCCCCACTACCCTCAACCCCTCCCCACCTCCCTCAACCTCTCCCACCTCCCTCAACCCCTCCCCACTACCCTCAACCCCTCCCCACCTTTCTCAACCCTTCCCCATTGAACTTGATCTCCGTTCGACATTAGCCATTAAAGTAACCGTGTTCGAGGAGGCTGAAACGTGTTCCTTGTTATGGGTGGTTGCCATGGCAACTTCTCCTGGATCAGAGGGATTATATCTTCATCGTTCATCGAGGGAAGGGAGAGGTAGGGTTCGAGACCCCCGCTGGATATGACAGACTGTAGCCTTCCTGACGTCCTCCAAGATGCAGACTGGATTGATCAAGATGCAGACTGGATTGATCAAGATGCAGACTGGATTGATCAAGATGAAGACTGGATTGATCAAGATGAAGACTGGATTGATCAAGATGAAGACTGGATTGATCAAGATGAAGACTGGATTGATCAAGATGCAGACTGGATTGATCAAGATGCAGACTGGATTGAACAAGATGCAGACTGGATTGATCAAGATGCAGACTGGATTGAACAAGATGCAGACTGGATTGAACAAGATGCAGACTGGATTGATCAAGATGCAGACTGGATTGATCAAGATGCAGACTGGAATGATCAAGATGCAGACTGGATTGAACAAGATGCAGACTGGATTGAACAAGATGCAGACTGGATTGATCAAGATGCAAACTGGAATGATCAAGATGCAGACTGGATTGATCAAAATGCAGACTGGATTGACAGACTGGATGAGAAATGGTTCTCATTTGTTCTATCCAGCTTTAGATTATCAACAAATATAATATTAGCCAACTTGATTTTGATCACACTACTCAAAATCAACCAAAAAGTCAAATTTCAGCTTGCAAACGATATCAAAAGCTCCATACTTACACCTTACTTGACAAGTGTACATTAAACACCCACACAATAAGGAAGGATTCTGTTGCTATCCTAATCTCTGTTATCTTGTGTTCTTCCTTCCCCCCCTTCCCTCGTTCTACTCCTTAATCCCTAGTTCTTCTCCTTAATCCCTAGTTCTTCTCCTTAATCCCTAGTTCTTCTCCTTAATCCCTAGTTCTTCTCCTTAATCCCTAGTTCTTCTCGGGTTGCTCTGTTCACGTAGTTTAAATTTCTTTTGTTGATCTCTCCGAGGTCTTCATTCCCCTTGTTTCCAGGTCCCATGAAGGGGGTGTAACTGCTCTGTGCTTCCTATTGTGATGATCCAACCACACACACGCGCCAGAAGATGAGGCAAAGACGACGTTTCGGTCCGTCTTGGACCTTTCATCATGTCTTCAGCCACGTTATTGGGACTCGTTGTCTTCCAATTTTGCTTCAGAAGGAGGACCCGAAAGGGTTTGAAGGCGCTTGGGCTTTACCTTCCATTGTCAAATGTATCAGTCAAGCATATATATATATATATATATATATATATATATATATATATATATATATATATATATATATATATATATATATATATATATATATATATATAATATATATATATAATATGGTTCCCAATGGTCCACAATCCTTCTGGGGTGTGGAGTTTTCAGTTGCATATTGGCTTGGGGACCATTCAAGTTTGTTCGCATTTGTGTTGCTCACGTGGCCTCACCAAGTGAGGTAATTCGATGAAATATCTATGCCCGAGTTGACCATTGAGCGCTGTCGTATCGTGGAAGTAAATAGTCACATGACTACCAAGATTGTTGTACAGTCGTGTGGTCTAGTGGTTAAGGTACCAGGTACGCCAAGGTGCATATCACTCCTGGCTATTTGGGTTGGAATCCTTCTGGGGTGTGGAGTTATCAGCGTGTAATATGTACCTATTATATAGTTAATACATATCTTTGGGGACTATGTAGGTAAAATTATTTTATGAACCAGCAATTGTTCGGTCTACGAGAAGAACAAATCAGGTTTCAGTTCACATTAACGATCGAATGGTTCCAATAAACGATGATGACTGCAGGACTGCCATTACATACGTGACATTAATGGATCTGGGATAAAACTTATGACAGAGTGGGTTAGAGTGCCTTATGCAGTTAAGCAAGTTTATAATGGCAGTACAGCGTGTTTAAAGGCGAAAATGAGAGACTGGCGAAGGAGGTGGTGCAGCAAGATGTGGTTCCGGAAGGTCCCTCTGCAGTTTTTAAAAAGCATTTATGAATGAGATGAGAGATGCTGGTGCAGAGTTACAGTGATGGAGGTTACAGTGGTGAATGTTACAGTGGTGGAGGAGGCGCGAGTTACAGGGCTGAAAGTGGGTGCGTACAGAACAGTCTTTTGTGTGTTAACTAAATACATGTATGAGGTACTGTTGGTTTTTAATAGTAAGTAGTAGGGAAGCTTGCATGATGGGTGGAACACCGGGTGTATCAAGAGTTCAGGTCTGCATCGGTAGCCAGACTGGCCAGCTACTGATGAAATAAAGACTTCAACAGTCGAAAAAAGCTTAAGCTTCTTTCCCATTTCACTCTGATTGTCTGCCCATCTATAATCAGTGTTTCCTGATCGTCAATTATATATATATATATATATATATATATATATATATATATATATATATATATATATATATATATATATATATATATATATATATATATATATATATATATATATATATATATATATATATATATATATATTATAATCAAATATACTCGTGCTATTTTCATGTTTCTGACCACTGTGGAAAAAATAAAATATTCATCCAATATACATGGCGATACATGAGTAAGTTATTCTATTTTTGAACTAGTGAAAGTACTCGTAACTGAATTTGAATCCAGTTTACTGCTATTGTGAATAATGAATTGTTGTGTGTGTCTACAGATCCGTGTGGTCACGTGGTGTGCCAGGCGGGGCAGGTGTGCCTGGTGGACGATGCCAGGGTGCCAAGGTGCCTCTGTAACTCCACCTGTCTCTCCTCCCTGTCCCCCGTCTGTGCCAACGACGGCACCACGTACAGGTGAGCACCAGACGGGAACGACCCAGGCTTGGGTGTCCAGTTGTCAGGGATAGGGAGAGGCTTGTGGAGATCCCCCGGTCTAGGCCAGTGATTGGTTATCCCCCAGGGATGTAACCCCCACAACTGTTGGCTAACGCTAGGGTATATACCTGTTTACTGCTAGGTGAACAGTGGCATCAGGTGTTAAGGAAATGTGGCCAAACGCTTCTTTTTGCCTGTGGCTCGAACTTAGGTCGCGTGAGCTGTGAGTCGACAATATTATCAACTACTCTACAATTTACTTTTATTCCCAGGCGTGTCTCGCTGAACAGTGGAGTACCACCGAGCCAGTATACCCAGGAGATGTTATTTAACCCTAAAACAAACTGCTGAATGTGTATAACAGCTCAGAGTGGGGGGGGGAGTTAATTACAGGTACAGAATTGATAAGGGTTGAGTATATTTTATTTAATGATAGTTATTTATCCTCCTCGACGATTCACATGGGGGTATGCCTGCTCTCAGGTACATATGGGCATAGAGGGTATTTCAACGCAAACGGCATACAGAGCATAAAGGGGGATTGCATTACAAGTGGACAAAGTATTAAAAGCCGTGTCCTGGTTTTATGTCTTGCAGCCTCCTTTATATGCCGCATATATACCAGTGAGGTAGACACAGGAAGAACCAACATCTTGGCCAAATTTACAGATGACACAGAAAGATGGGAATCAGAGTTAGAAAACAAATATATCAAAATTGCTTAAAGACGAATTAGATGTTCTTTCAAATAGACGAAAGATTCGCAGATACAGTTTAATGCTAATAACCGTAGTGTCCCGAGCCCAGGCGATGGTAGTAAAGCAATATATATATATATATATATATATATATATATATACAATCCACCCACTGGTGGATTGAGTCCCACTGGTGGGTGTTGTCCAAAGATTGTTTATCTTCACTTGTGGTTTATGCAAGTATAGGCTTATAAGCTGGACACGAGTTCTCTCACATTGACAGTGGCTTGACGAAAATTGCAGACTGACCCCTCACTCATCTGGTGCCTTCGGGAGGTAGAGATGTTTGAGATATATATATCTCGAACTATCTACTTCTTTTGTAAGGTCTGATGGCGTAGTGGGTTAAAGCATACTAGTTATGCCAGCTACTGGAAGGTAGTTGTGCTTTCTGGGTTCGAGTCCCACTGGTGGGTGTTGTCCAAAGATTGTTTATCTTCACTTGTGGTTTATGCAAGTATAGGCTTATATATATATATATATATATATATATATATATATATATATATATATATATATATATATATATATATATATAAAGCTTAACAACATTGTAATTGCCTAATATGAATCCGAAAAAGACCTGGAAGTCATAATTAACATGGATCTTGAATAATAGAATCAGTTAATAAATATTCGAGCTAAAGCAAAAAAAAAATGTTGGGATTCATATCTACAAGTGATTAGCATTATGTCTACATCTTATTCATCAGCTTCATTTTCCCTTCTTAGGCCCCATTATGCAGTTCCGTTCTGACAACTGTATTATAGAATGAACGATAAATGAACGACAGAGATGGACAATAAATTTCGTCTGGGGAAACAAGAAACTTCTCTAATGAAGGAATTCTCTTCCTTCTGTCTAAGGAAGGAAGCTTAATTCACAACCTGTTTTAAGGTTGTGAATGAGACGAGACACGCTTGAAGTAGGCAAAGGGTTTACATAACACAACATGAGAGGTGTTATTAGCATACCAAATATATATGAACACAAAATAACACACGAAATATTGGGTACTAATTGAACAAGTTTACATTGAGAAAAGGCCAGGGTCAAAATACTAGTGTGGTAATGTGACTGAGCTGGAAAACTAATTTGTCTACCAATTGTTATAATAAATTAATTACATCATTTTTATAAACTTTCTTCGTTAATAACTAGAGAGAGATCTGGGCTGCATTCGGCTTGCCTTCCAATCTAAAATATAGAAATTACATTAAATAACTTCTACGGCAGTGGAAGTTAGTTAATGTAACATTATTATAATAGAAACATGCTAATAATGCTTGGTATAATAAGGAAAATATTTTATCCCAAAGTTGATAATGGAGGAAGAATTATGATAATATTACATAAAAAAACTGTATAAATGGGTCAGTTCCCTGAGCCTCGATGTTATCAAGCGAAGGTCTACAACATAAAGGTAAAATATTATACTGATGCGTTAATGATAATTCTATCTTTAATATGGCCAAATGAAAGTCTTACCGAGAATTATATATTTAAACCAGCACGATGCAACTAACCTCCCCATTGCTGTCTAAGGAAGACATTACCTAACGTTAAAACTTAAAATTAAAATCT